ATCTAGGGTAGATCACGCGGGAAGATGAGGGCAGCGAGGGTAGATCACGCGGGAAGATGAGGGCAGCGAGGGTAGATCACGCGGGAAGATGAGGGCAGCGAGGGTAGATCACGCGGGAAGATGAGGGCAAGCCGAGCGGTAAGATCACGTGGGAAGATGAGGTGCAAGCGAGGGGCGTAATCGACGCGGGGAAGATGAGGCAGCCGAGGGTTATGATCACGCTGGAAGATGAGGGCTAGCAAGGGTAGATCAACGCGGAAGATGAGAAGGGGCAGCGAGTGAGGTAAATCACGCCGGTGAAGATGAGGGCCAGCAAGGGTAGATCAGCGCGGCGAAGATGAGGGCCAGCAAGGGTAGATCATCACGGGGAAGATGAGTCGGCTCAGCGAAGGCAGATGACGCTGGGAAGATGAGGGCAGCGAAGCGGTAGATCACCGCGCTGGGAGATGAGCGGCAGGCTCGTACGGTAGGATCAGCACGGCAGTGGGAAGATGGAGCGGCAGCGAAGGCAGATTGACGCTGGAGATAGTGCAGCGGAGGGTAGATCATGTGGGGAAGATTGGGCGCAGTGGGCTGCGGTGTGTACGTTGGGAAGGTGTCGGGGCTTGCGTGCTTGTACGTCGGGGAAGGTCGCGGCGCGCTGCGGGTGCTGTACGTAGCGGGAAAGGCTGGGCGGCTCGTGTTACGTATGGAAGTGTGGGTGGCTGGCTCGTGGTACCTACGCGGAAGGTTGGGGGCTGCGAACCGCTGCAGGCCGCCTCAAATCGCCGACTGAGCTTTCCTCTGTTGCCTTGCTGTACGTCGGCGGAAGGTGGGGGCTGCGTGGACTGCTACCTAGAAGGTGGGGCTGCGTGTGTACCGTGGGGGGAACCCGGTGGGCCGGGCTGCGTGCTGCAGCGCCCTCTCGCCGGTGTACGTAGGCGGAGCGCTCGCCGTGGGGCTGTGCGTGTGTACGTAGGGAGCGTTAACCACATCATATCTTCTCTCTACCTAACTCAATTGATGATATCATGTATCTACACCCCACCTACACACCTACCTTAATCGTTTTATGTACCTACACTCCACCTACTTCAACTACAACATACATTTTACGAATCTGCTGCCTCAAGAACACATCCACCAAGATAACCACAATATCAGATACCTACTACTGACTTACCTTAATCACAGAGGTAATTTCTCGTCTCGTTACAGATCTATTTTGTGTAAATTTCCACATCTGTAATTAGAAGACATGTTTCTTCATTAACTTATATAATATGCATTTGCTGCTATCTTATCTTGGTTTCTTATATATCATGTCTAAAATTTAAATTACAGATACTCTTAGTAAATCTCAGTGTATCACAGCAATTCCATCATAACTTTGACCTGATGATGGGCATATTGCTAAATATAGAAAGTATATCTAAATATATATCTTTAGATCTAGTGCCATCCTTTGGAAAACTAACACTCATAAAACAAACATAACATAGTATCCACGTACCACAAAATTTCGGGCTCTGCACAGAATCTCTGCAGACACGCCACTGTGAGAGCTGAACGTATCCTTAGGATACAGTATTTCACTCTTTACCACCCAACACCCCTGTACGAGCACTGCAACCTGCTGGAGTGATCGTAATATTGACATGGGGTCTGTATCACGTGGTAACAGCTGAATGAGCTGAGTAAACCGGATAACTTTAGCTGCAAACAAAAATAAAACATAATAATAGCATATAGGTTACCAGCAATTCAGTCACTTCATCATAGGGACGTTTGATGTTGTTGAGCAGACATGCAAATAGCATTGTTTAATATCTATCAAAAGTGGACAATGATGACAATGTATAACTTGTCACTTGCAACACCATGAACATATGCACACAGATAAACTACATATTAATTAACTACATATAATACACACTCATAATTAAATATAAAATGGACGTGTAACGATACACTAGGGTCACGATACAATACATATCTTGACACACAGGTCACGATACAATACGTAGCATGATACAAAGACAGTCACAGAGATATTGTAAATTGTATGCTATGATAAATTTGTCATACAGTATATGAAATAAAATGTACTGCATCCTTGGTATTTTGTTTCGAATTATGCTAGTACAATCCCTTACAAACTAAAGAATTTACAAATTCAATGGCTTAACAGTGCCAAAATTTTATCTCACTGTTACAATATCCCGGCAGTTGAAAACACGTTGAGTGGGGACAGATGTATCTGGAATACACAGGTAAGTTTTCGCAAGGCATGGATAGGAAGTGGATAGAAGCTTTGTTGATGCCACCATCAATTCAGGAGTAAGATAATATAGGATATATTCCTATATTATCTTACTCCCGATCAATTGAGTAGATTTCCAACGGTTGGAATCGTTGTGGTTACTATTTAAGTAGAACGTAGGATGCCCATAACATATCTACACATGCGATTTGGGTGTCTGCTAATTCAAACCTGGTTACCATGTTATAAACATCCGTGACACTGGTGTATTCCGTTTCCAATTAATCAACATTGCAATTTGAACTTCACATAGATTGTTGAATCGGTGAATCGTTACACCCCTAATATAGAACCTGCCTATATCTACATATAATCAAGAGCTAATAATACCTAAGGTATACCTAAGGCAAGGCTCCACACTAACTTTTTACCTCCGCGAAACGGAGTTGCAGGGAGGTAATGTGATGCCTCTCATGTGATGTGTTCGTGTGTGTTTTCGTGTGTGTGTGCAGCCAGCAGCGAGCCAGCAGCGATCGATTCAGCACCAGCTTGCCTTAGGGCGTCGAGTCAGCAGCAGCTCGCTCGCTTGCGCGCAACAATCTATATTTCAGCGATTCTACTACTACAAGCTAGAACTACTAGAAACTGCAACTAAAACCAGAGTCAGCGAGCGGGCGGCGCGATCGATAGCGCGTCGATCGATAGCGCGTCGAGTCAGCGAGTGGCGAGTCAGCAGCAGCCACCAGTGAGCGGCGAGGCAGCAGCAGGCGAGTCAGTCAGCAGCCGCCACCAGCGAGCACATACATGTTACATGCTCGCGGAGGTATGCACTCTCCGTGAGTGCCCTCTGTCTAGTTTTTTAAGTGACCCGAATCATTGATTTTCAATTTTTGGTGGCCCAAAAATGAAATCTGGTGGCCCGAAAAAAGAACAAAGAAAAATATGATGAGGGGTGATGTATCGCGCGTAAGCTAATATCATTAAATTGTTTAAGCCTAAAATTACCTTTAAATCGCTCTTTTACAAAGCATGAAATTACAAAAAAAAAAATTTCCCCTCAAAATTCATCCTTTGAGATTTGAATCGATAAAAAGGGAAATTTTGTGTGTGCAAAAATTACCCCCTCATGAAAATGGACTGTTCCAAAATATGTGACTGCACGGCGCAGACTTTCGCACACGAACTTTCGAACGCTGGCAGTTTCGCTTCGGATCCGAAACAGTGCACGTGCGCACATGGATATATATGAATTATTTTGTACAGCCTGCATGCATGCAGCTAGAGCTAGAGCTCCAGCGCAGCTAGCTAGCAATATACATTACATACAGTGCAGTACAGTGCAGTACAGTGTAGTGCAAATTGCGACCGGCGCCGTGTCTGCTGATTTGTGTTCATTTGATCACGCTCGCTCCGCGAATTGCTCGCTCTCTTTTGAATGAGATTAGCACGTAAGAAACAATTATTTTTATCACATAGACACTTTGAAATTTTAGTGGCCCGATCGGGCCACCAAATTTTAACTTTTTGAAATTTTGGTGGCCCCGGGCCACCGCTAGTGTCGAGCCTTGCCTAACGTATTATTAGCTCTTGATATAATACACATTCACGTCTACAGATAATACATTATTCATAACTATATATGTAAAAGTATGAATATATGTTCATGCTCATCAGTACCATTAAGGAGGAGAGCCTTGATCTGATCACCCATAGGCATGGTCTTTAACTGAGTCATAGACAGCACATTATTTGGTAATGCTGGCTTCACACTGAAACAAAATAACCCTGAATTAAAAATGGTGAAGAAATAACCGCTTCACTACACACGCTACCAATACCACTCGTTTTTCATTAGTTTTTCTTTCTTTTACCATAAAAATTGCATTATTTTACTGTTTTCTATATGTACCATGTGTTACAGTGTAGCATGCTATGTTTTTGAAGAGCAAAATCAAAGCATCCTACCTACGCCAATAAGAATCTACCGTATCAATCTACGCCCGTTACCTCGCATCCTTTGCCAGTTCAGGGGTCAGAAGCGCCAGGTATTGTCTCTGGTTGAGATGAAGCTCAGATGCCTCCACCTCTGTTTTCCTTGAACACAGCTGCTCCCTCTCCATCTCACTGAGCTCGGCCTGCAAAACAATAAAACAAAGAGGGCGCAACTGTGTCAAGAAATGATCTACCAATCACACACCCATCACTGCAATCGAACAAACAACAGTGAGCCGAAAGAACCAAATAACTTTGGCCATGAACAAAATAATTATAAACCTAGTGCATATGTTGCAATTCAGTAATAATTAACTAGCTAAACTTCATCATTGCATGCATTTCTACCTACGACTCCTCATACACACAGCTTATCTTTACGATTAAATGCTGCTCTTTAGCAAATGACAAATTTCGCCGACGCTCACATTATAAGAGTTATAAGCTACTCCTTGTACACAGGGCCATCTCTACGATAAAACACTCGCCGGTGATGTGAACAGGGATGCGTACATTAATTGTGTGGTAGTTGAGATCCAGCCATGCCTCTTTTGTCTTCTGCTGCTGCAGATACTCGTATGACTGCATCCGCTTTGCTCTCGCAGCCTCCGACTCGGCTCTCGCAAACTTCACCATAACAGGCTTCGCCTCATCTTCCTCCTGCGATGACTCACCTGACGAAAAATGAAATCGACAAAATCATGAGCACACCTGCCATGAACATTATTTATACTACTTATATTATCACAATCATCATCATTATCATAACCATCATCACCATCATTATTATACATATTATTTATATCATCATATGACTGGAATTGGCCAAAGCAAAGATATGGCACAGAGTGCTATCCTACTGACTACTGTTCAACCATTGTCGTTATATCTTGGCTTATTTAATTGCATTAAGGAATAGCAGATTTTAAGTTAGTAAAGGGAACGGACTGAATTCGACTGAAATTACCTGACTGTTAGAAAACTACACAAAAATCCCCCATATAGAATGAACAATACGCATGATTATCAACATCAAGGGCTATTCTACTATACTGTTTTTACCAACCATCATCAGCTGTTGACTCTTTCATTTTACTGTCAGCTTTATCAAAGTAGTTAAAGTTGGGTTTTAGCTGGATGACACCTTGGACAGGAGTTAGATGGAGCTCATCTGAATAAATGAAGAACAACATGATATCAACTTTACATGGCTTAATAGGACAAAACATTTTCCGCAAAGTTACAAGCCTAACCGTTTTTGACAAATAGCATACCAGAATATAAACAACTATTCATGTGTGATTATGGTAGTAGATACTTCTAACAACGTCCAGAAAGAAAATGCAGAATCAAATTACTTATTTTATCGATTACAACATTTCAGGGATAGGTAAACAATCCTACATTTTGCTCTAACACACACATACCATCTCTGAAGACAGCAGCTGCATACTGCAGCGAAGCATTGCCGACAGAGGAGGAGACCAGGAGTTGCTTGTCCATGATACCACTGGCAAAGTAGGCACTTTCAGACCCTCGTGATGCACCATCTACATTCAGTGCTATCTGCTCTCCCTTGCTGTGTGAATAGTTTACACTGCGTGTGTTGATGCCCAGCTCCAATTCCACCTAAACATATTTATATAATTACAGTGAAAACTAGTGGAATTATTACATATTTTAAATGGTATAGATACTGTTGGGAACATTTAGGTTGCTCTGAATATGTTAAGCCTTCCCTGGAATGATTCTCTTCAACATATGTGTTCACCTTCTGCTGTTTTGGCTTCATCCTCACTCCAATAACCTCTACTTCATCGTATGGCATAGTGGCCGGTCTCACTGGATACTAAGTAATAATATTGATTAGACACATGAATTGTAGCCCACACTAAAATAATTATATAAATATATATATGTATATAATATATATATATATATATATATATATATATATATATATATATATATATATACAGGGCGCGAAATTAGCACCGGCCCACTGGCATATGCCAACAAATTATTTGGAGGGCCAGTAACATTGTCAAAACACCGGCCCTCCGAGCCGGTGGGTTCAGCCGTGTTAGCGAGTACCTACATTTGTATTTATAAATAGCATTAATTAGCAAATAGCCTACAATGCTGTTTTACCTGAATGATATCACGCCATAATTTATCAACATTTTACACATTTGGAATCAAGAATGCAAGTGTGAAACATGACATTGGCCAAAACACTTCGGACATCATTCACGATCTTTATTTTTGAAAAAAAAAAATTTGTGAGGGCTGGTAAATTATGATGAGGGCTGGTCAAAAACTGCTGTTACCAGCCCTCTATGCCAGTGCAAAAAAATCTGAATTTCATGCCCTGTACAGTAACAGGCATATATACGGGTCCTCCCTAGCTCCAAGAAAAGGTCTGGCTAGGGTTAGAAGACCATCAGTCATAGGTGTATAGACAATCAGTCGCACAGCCTCGTCGAGCTAGACTCCTCCCCAGACCTTTAACACACGTCGGGCCCAACAAGCCTTCAAAGCTGAAGCTAATTTTCAACATCCCATAACTCCTTCAACATGCGGTTGATTAGCTTTAGTACTATAACCCGCGTACAGTTGCCACATGGCTATAGAACATTTTATGCCAGGTTTCGTAACTGCACCTGTCCCCCAATGCCGCCATATTCCATGTGTAGACAAAACACATGGGCAGCTATGATGCAGCCTATTACATTTCGGGTGACGTCACGCATGTACACAACAGCATTTGAAAACGAAGCAAGTATACTAGTGCTAGCACTTTGAGGAATAAATGCATAAATACAGGGTGTAATGTTGTGGAAAGTGTTCAAAAAGGTAGGTAGATAAATAAGTGTTAAAAAGCCCGATCATTCTGCATTTTGTGAGACATTTTTCGTGGAAGCATTGGGGAACAGGTGTAGTTACGAAACCTGGCATAAAATGTTCTATAGGAGGTGTACAACAGTAAGCTTCCGCAATTCTGCACCATTGCACTATTTCGTCTCTAGATAATGCCTGTTTTGGCATTTTTTTTCGCTGAAATTCGGCACTAGATTGCAATAATTTGCATTATGCA